AGTGCCAATGTGGGTTATGCCCCAACCAAAAGTTGATCTTAGTTTATTAGAAGCAAGGCAAAAGGAAGGGGCTTACGAAACAGAGGTTTATGATGTAAGGGAATATATGGGGTCAAGGTATGGAGAATATATGCACATTTTCACAGATGCCTCAAAGGATCCAAAAACAGGTCATGTGGGCTCTGCATTTGTAATACCGAAGTTAAAAGTAAATAAGAGCAGTAGAATATCAGATGGTTTATCAGTGTTCACTGGAGAGATGTTCGCAATAATTATGGCAATAAGGTGGATTCGTGAAGTTAAAATATCCAAGGCAGTAATATGTTCAGATTCAAGTCCAGCCCTAATAAGTTTGAATGAGCAGAAGTCAGAAACAAGACAAGATATGATAATAGAGATTTTTCAAGAATTATATTCACTTAAGCAAAATAGTATAAAAGTTCAGTTTCTGTGGGTACCGGCTCATATTTCAGTTGAGAGGTAATGAAGAGGCAGATCATTTAGCAAAAAAAGGCCATAGAACGAGAAATAGTTGATATTCAGATTCCTCTTAGTAGGTCAGAAATTAAATAAATTATCAAAATGAATATTTGGGAATTATGGCAGCAGTATTGGGACATAGATACCAAAGGTAGGCATTTGTATCAAATACAATCAACAGTGGATAAGCGAAGAGTATCAGGTTGGAGCAGAACTGAGGAGAACATGATTACAAGGTTGCGATTGGGGCATACAAGGTTGAACAGTACAATGCATTTAATAAGTAAACATCCAACAGGACTATGTGACGTTAATGAGTTGAACATGTTATAATATACTGTAGGAAATATACTGTTGAAAGAAATGTGTTGAAGGGTGAACTAGAGAATCAGGGTGAGCAGTTTCTAATTAAGAATGTATTAAATCCAGGAATAAATATTAAATCATTATTGTTACAGTATTTGGGAAGAACTGGTTTGAACAAGCAAGTATAAGTGTTTTTTTTCTCTCTCTCTCTCTCTCTCTCTCTCTCTCTCTCTCTCCAAATAGTGTTTTTTCTCTCTCTCTCTCTCTCTCTCTCTCTCTCTCTCTCTCCAAATCTCGCTTAAGAGAGGGCTGAGGGTGGACGGAGGAGCTGAGCACGCAGCGCCGAATGAGAAGACTCTAAGCGGGTATAAGAATCAAGGGTGTTTGTATGTGGGTTGGTAGTTTAATCGGGAGATTGTAGATCAGGGCTGTCCAAACTCGGTCCTGGAGGGCCGGTGTCCTGCAGAGTTTAGCTCCAACCCTAATTAAACACACCTGAACCAGCTAATCAAGCTTTTTCTAAGCATAGAAACTTCCAATCAGGTGTGTTGAGGCAAGTTGGAGCTAAACTCTGCAGGACACCAGCCCTCCAGGACCGAGTTTGGACAGCCCTGTAAATGTAGATAGTGTCAAAGGTCCATTTGAGCGATAGGTGGCGGTAATGCACTTATAAGTCTGCGAGCAACAACAATAACAAGAAGAAGAAATACCGTGTCACGTGACCCAGTGTTGACGGAAATGCTTCAGGAATGGCGAGAAACGAAGAGAAGCAGTGTGGCAGACTCAACAGACTGTGGCTCCAGAAAGAGAGAGAGGGTATGAGACGCATTTATGGTTTGTTTACACCAAGTGAATCGGTCTTTGGCAGTCACGTGCGTTTATTATGTGTGACGTCACCGAGGCGCCATTAGAAGGTATCGTTGCATTGAGCAGTGAACTAGAAGTGTACAGAGCCGTGCAGTAAAGACCGATTAAATCCTCATACTGGAGAAACAGATGCAAAAGCAGTAGATACGGAAAAAAACCTTCATGGCATGGATTCTCAACTCTAGCCCACTTAATGTAATTTCCATAGACTTTAGCTCCAACCTCAATCAAACTCACCTGCCTGTAACTTTCTAGTAATCGTGAAGATCTTGGTTAGCCTGTGCAGGTCGGATCTCAACTCTGCAGTAAAGTGGACCTCAAGGGCCAGAGTTGAGAACCCATGTAATAAAGGTCCCCAAGTTTGGCATACCTGTATAATGCTTTACTTCAAGATCACTGAAAAACTATCAGACATCCTGAGTTTACGCCACAGCAGTCAGTTTTCTTCTGTGCACACACAAGTAAGTTACATTCAGTTAGTGACACTGAGTGGTGTGGTGTGAAGCCGACCATCTCCTCCAGCCTGGTGGCTCATCGTCTCAGCTGGCTGCAACTGCTCCCACTTCACACCTAGCCCAAATATATGAAATGAAAATGAACAAATATGTAGTCAGTACTTTTTAAAATTGTAAGAAATAAAAATGAGAAACATTAGAAATGTATTTTAGTGAAGTATTCCGTTTAAATTACACCTATGTTAAGTACAAACCCCCCAAAACAATATTTAATTTCAGTAACGTTAGTGAAATAAAATAAAATAACTCTTTACACCCATGCATAAAACGATTGCAAGACATTTCATGGTACATGACCCGTTTCTGCTCACCTGCTCCCTGGTTGTCCGTTTAATAGCATTGACCCTAAATAATATGTGAATATAATGTTGGCTACTTCTGAAAACAGAAAATAAGCACATCTAAAAAAAATCTCTTACTTACCTTTATGAAAATGTCGAGGGTGAACGAACATAACCGGAGATATGTTGGCAAATATGATGATTTCGCATATCACCGCTGCAACCCAGGCCATCTGACACGGCGACGCCTCTTGTTGTTTAGTCTTTTTTTCAAGTGCGAGACCTAAAATATCTTTCTTCGTGGTGAGTTTTTGACCTTTTCTATCATGTAATTCACTATTGCAGACTTTAACACAACAAGAACGTACCATTTTAAATCAACTGAAAAAGACAATTCTCCAACTACAGAACACCTCGGCTTTGATACCTTACAAATGGCGGCGATACCCAAAATGCACTTCGATTCTCGTGAGTGTGACGTCACCTGACAAAGACCGATTGACCCTAATGTGAAACGACGGATAATGCAGTCGCTATAAATGCCTGCATAAAGCCAATGTGTTCTCCCGTTCTGTTGCACTCGGTCAGTTTGCGGCATAATGCATCTGTGTTCTGTTTCCAGAGGGTCGCATTAAAGATGTCCACGTGTCAAGGCCAAAGCTTGTAAGAAATCTCTTTCGTTGCCATGTATCTTATCATTTCAACGAGGCCACTTTCTATAAATGAAAACATTGTCTTGTTTAATAATGGACCTTTTGACACGCAGGCAACGTTAAACTCAGTGGCAGCAGTGAAGAAGTGGATGCCGAGCATCAAGAAGGAGATTGAGTACTGTCTGCAGGTACTGATCATACACGGAAAAAGTAGGAAAATAGAAGGCTACCATCTGTCGGCGAATACACTTTATCGGACGAAACCACACTTCCTAAGGCACAAAAGAAAAAAAAAAATTATATAATACATACACGAAACGTCTAAATAATTTAAAGGGGTCATATGATGCGATTTCAAGTTTTCCTTTCTCTTTGGAGTGTTACAAGCTGATTGTGCATAGATAAGATTCCTGAAGTTGACTTTCAATCATTGAACATAACATACAGAATGTGCTTTACATTCAATAACAACAATTAATTTCCAATTAATATATGCATATTTACTTATTAAATTCATAATTCTTTTTTAATATAAAATAACTATGAGAATCATGAATATTTAAAAAAAAAATGGTTCCAATTCCTCTAAACAAGTCTGATTCCTTAACAATATTATTAATAATTATTTTAGAATGATTTGGAATAAATGTTTGGGGGGTAAATGCTGTTCTTGTAGTATTTGCCGGCCTCAGCAGTCCCTTGGCAAATATGATTGAGATTTTAACAGAACAGATATTTTAAAAATGAGAAATACATTAATAAATTACATTTGACTACAGTTACTTTTTTATTGATTACATGATTACACAATAGCAATAAATTATTCATAATTTATTGATCATCCGTTATTCCTCTTTTTCGTCTTTTAAATGTTCCTTTTTAAAATAACCTACCGCTTATATACACTCAGAAAGTCTTCCAGTTTTGTGGACATTCACACAAAGTTCACTAGTCAGGTGGCTACACAGCATTTGACATTTGACCACTGGATTTACAAAAATCATATCAGTTGTTTCAACATTGCATCAACTACTGATGAACACATTAATGTTTATTTGAATGATCACTCAGTAGGTTATTTCACATGACATGCAGGTAAACAAAACAATTAATTGTTTTATTTCGATTTGTTATTTTACAATGATTTGTTTTAATTTGACATTTTTATGATTTAATTAATGATTACATTTTCATTAAACTCGCAAATTCCCTGCAGTACCTTTACAAACCCCAGTTTGGGAAACCTTGGCGTAATATAACGTTTAATGCACTTTGTTGTTAATTACAACGAATGGAATATATCTTCTTACTTTTTGTATTTTTATATCAATATGGTACAAGATTATCCTATTTAAATCAATGTGATAAACAAGTTAGGTCAAAAGTAATCAAAAAGTAGTCTTGATTATATTACCTGAAATGTGTAATGTAATGGTTTACGTTTCTAACTACAATTTATGTCGTGTAATTTGGAATCAGTAATGGATTACAATTTGTAAGTAATCTACCCAGCTCTGCTGGTTTGCTGGTCTCCCGTCCTGGTCAGGTGGGCGTGTTGGCTGGTTTTGAAGGGGTTTGGAGCCCTTTTCAACTGGTCAGGCTGAGAGACCAAGCTAAAACTGCTTATTTTCATCAGATTCAGGCCTATGATATGATGACCAGATAAGAGGTTAACTCCTGACATGGTAATAAGCTTGAAGCCTTACAGTTAAACCAGCAGAATGACCCATCAGCTGGGTCATGCCAGTGTACTTAAACTATGTCTTGCTATATGTTTGTATCATGCCAGTTATATTAAATGAAACTTGTGAGTATACATGGCCAAAACAAGCTCAGTTTTTGATACTGATCTTGTGCATCTATTGCATGTCATGCATAAACCAAAAAGTGGAATGTATGTTCTGTTTGATCATGAGTCTCAAACATTTGGGTAAGAGAAGACTTTTATCCGTCGATTTGTTGATATCTGATAATAGTTGCGAATGGTTATATCTGAGCATCTGTATTTTGCAGCAGTCGCAGTTATCTCACTACCCAGAGAGGAAGATAGATGAGTTCCGTCAGCATATTGAGGAACTGGAGACCGAATACAAACGTTACCTGAAGAAACTACACTCCCTGGACCCTACCTGCAAACACAAGCCTTGGGAACCTCGAGCATATGCCAAGAGGAGGCAGGATCCAGGCAGCAATCAAAACACCTGTCAGTTTATGCTATTATAGTACCAGTCTTTATTAGACAATGCCAGCATTGCCTGTTTAAAGGAATAGTTTGCCCAAAAATGAAAATTTGTCGAAAATTGACTCACCCTCGGGCATTCAAAATCTAAATGAGTTTCTTCAGAGGAGAAATTTAGCACTTGCTCACCAATGGATCCTCTGCAGTGAATGGGTGCCGTCATAATGAGAGTCTAAACGGCTGATAAAACATGCGAATAATCCACAAGTAATCCACACAACTCCAGACCATCAGTTAATGTTAGTGCTGGGCCGGTATACCGGTTCATACCGAATACTGGTGTTTATTTTTGTTATGATATGATTTTTTAAAATACCGCAATACCGGTATATGTCGCTTAAACAACGTTCGGAACGTGACACTGTTTGAAAGGGGTCCCTTTTCACTGTTGCACTGTGGTGAGGGAACAGTTGTATGTGTTACTAAGCGTGAAAGTTCCGAAACTGAAGCTGTAGAACTAATAGAACGAGATGACACAGAAGAACTCATCCACAATGTCCACATTGACCTCTACAAATATCCACCGCCCCCTGCCATCAGCTCCCGCGTCTCACACACACACACGAG